GGTAGACTGTACCTACATCCACGAACTAAAAACATACATCAATGTATTATTTACTGAAAAAATTGGTCATTTGATAATTGATTATACAATACTTAACTCTAATCGATGTATTATTCACTGACAAAATTGGTCATTTGATAATTAATTACATAATACTCAACCATATTTATATAGATAAAATATTGTAACCCAATTTAATTTAGAAACCGCCAAATCTCTATATTTCTTATCAAGTCACTAAAAAACCTATTCATGTTTCATTCAAACTCTTCCAATTCGTTTTTTATGTCATTCACAATTCTCACGCAAACTCTCTTTCATGGTAATTAGAGAAATTGAGTCAAATTCTAACATTGTCAATAAAAAAATATTTAATTACGTAACATCTTATATGTTATTATATAAAAAAAAATTAAAAATTATAAAATATTAATCATGTTATTTGCATGAAACTTTATTTTAATTAATTTATTATTTGTGTCAATTAATTATATTATTTTTAAATTTTATATTGAATCGATTTTGTGTCATATTCCTGTCAACTAATAAAATTGACAACCCTAATTTTAATATTGATTCCACCTTTTCCGGGGGGCTGGTCGGACCTACATAAAGTCTGCCAAGCTGATTCAGCATCTTCCAACCTTCCAGGCTTTTTAGAATCCCATACTTTCACTAGTGGTACATGTTACTTGAAGTAGGGACAGGTAGGACGTGCTCACATTTTGATTTTTCTTTAATAATGGACTCATTTCTAAATTATATTATAAACTAATTTTTCGTTGGAATATTTTATTAATTAAATAAAATGAGATACTCATTACTTATAAAAAATAGATGGGTAAATTACATTCACACCCCCTACATTTGGGGTCTCAGTGTAATTTTTAAAATGTGAAGGGATGTCCTGTAATATAACTAAATGTCAGGGGATGTAAATATAATAATAGATTATGTAGTAGACAGAATCATTACTAAGAAAAGCACCACATCCCATCCCATCCGCAGCAAAAGAATACATGTACTCCAACTATTTGCACTCTGAAAAGTGCAAAGTGCTATGTTTGCGCGTTTTTAGTCCCATCAAAAATACATCGTTCACATTTGAATTAAAATATTAATGAGATCTCAATTAATTATATTTTTTGGTTGATCAAAAATAAATTATTTACGTCTGAATTAAAATATTTATAAAAAATAAATTATTTATTGAGAATTTCAAAGAGTTGGGAAAAATTCAAAATAAGGAGTTATTTGTTAGTAGGGGCTAATAATACCACATGGTGAAATGTAATTGGATTGAATATATTAAAATTCAAAAAAAGAGAAAAATATAGAGAAAATGTACTCACTTTTGTTGGAGTGTGTTGTCTCATACTCCAGAAACAATTTGATGTAATCGCGACCCCATCTTTACCGTTATGTGGTATCACCCATAAGTTATAAACAAATATATAAGACAAATTGTATTCCAACAAATTTTATAGGGTTAATCTCATTTTACACCCCGAAAGATTGTTCGAATCTCAATTTACACCCTCAAAGATCAAAAATCTCAATTTACACCCTCAAAGATAGAAATTTGTATCAATGTGCACCCCCAAAGATCAAAAATCTCAATTTGCACCCTCAAAGATAGAAATTTGTATCAATGTGCATCCCCAAAGATAAAAAATCTCAATTTGCACCTTCAAATATAGAAATTTATATCAATGTGCACCTAAAATTAAATTAATAAATATATCTTGATCCCCTCATATTTGTCACTTAATCATTTGAACTCCTTCACATTTAGAATATTCCCCTTACATCTTATGACGTTTATGCACGTGTAACACATAACCACTTTTCGTTGATATATATTAATATAATCATTAAAAAATATGATTTTATCCTAATATAAAATTATAATTTTATATTACCTTTTATTTTGTGGATTCGATATACTCTAAAGTTGAAAATCAAGCTTACCATTTGAATGTCTAATAAAATGTAGATATTTATATAAAAGGTAATATGTAAAATATTATATAAATATTTATATTTTATTAGACATTCAAATGGTAAACTAGATTTTGAACTTTATAGTATATTGAACCTATAAAATAAAGGGTAATATGAAATTATAATTTTTATTAGGATAAAATTATATTTTTTAACGATTATATTAATAGATATCAATGAAAATGGGTTACATGTTATACGTGCACAAATGTCATAAGATGTAGGAGTAATATTCTAAATGTGAAGATGTCTAAATGATTAACTGACAAATATGAGGGGATTTAGGTATAATTTATCAATTTAATTTTAGGTACACATTGACATAAATTTCTATCTTTGAGGGTGCAAATTGAGATTTTTTATCTTTGAGGTACACATTGATATAAATTTCTATCTTTGAGGGTGCAAATTGAGATTTTTGATCTTTGGGGGTGTACATTGATACAAATTTCTATCTTTGAGGGTGTAAATTGAGATTTTTGATCTTTGAGAGTGTAAATTGAGATTCGAACAATCTTTCGGGGTGCAAAATGAGATTAACCCAATTTTATAATCGCTGATAAATTTTACATTCAATAACGATTATGTAGGATTACATGAGTTCACTTTATCTCACTAATTTATTTATTATTAGTGACGGTGATAATATAATATTACCGTTACATTGAATATTTACTAATCACATTAAGTAAACTAGTACTTAAATCTTACACATCTTTTGAGCATACCGAGTGAGTTTGAATTACTCGTGAGTAAATATTTTTATCTTTCATGAATATTTTAGTCTTTACGTAAATGATTTATTTTTGATTGAATCAGAGAGAGAATTAATCAAAGTGCACATAAATTATTTCGTACATTTCTAACCGTTTAAAAATAAATAAATATTTAATATAATGTTTAAATCACGTCACAGTGGTAAAAAAAAAAAAAAAAAAAAAAGAAAGAAGAAGAAGAAGAAGAAGAGGAATCGTCCAACCTAGTCTTTAGTGTTAATATGTATGCGAGGCTGGCGGTCCTTTATGATGGCAGCAACTTCAATTCTAAAAAAGGCATCTTTTGTCACTTCAAGCCAAGAAATAGCAAACTTCCCTTCTAATTAACAACCCTCAATTAAAAAAATAAAATAAAAAACAAAGACCATCCCAAATTCCCAATACCCTCCCCAAAAAAAATTGGTAAAGGAGAAATATTTGTTTTTGGTTGGTAATTTTAAGCACTTATTTTTATAGAAAAATGTATTATATCAAAAATAAATTTTAATATATTACCAAAAAACCCCTAAGTTTAGAGTATATTATCGATTTGCTTGACAAATGTTCTACAAATGAACAAATTTATTGCATCATAATTCACTTCTCCAACTTTTATTTTTCAAAAAATAGAATTTGATTATTAGTTCTGCATGCCATGAAATGGGAAAAGTAATGCATTTAATATATTATTCTTTATATTTAATTGTTAGCTTATAAACCATGTTTACATGTCACATTTGTCAAAAAAAAAATGATATTTAATTGATTTTTTGAGAATTCATCATACAATGATGATAGAACACAATAATTTCTATTGAACTAGTTGAGTTGGCAATTATCAAAATTGCTCTCATAATTAGTCCATCAAGTGCACCTCATTATTTTTGTTTTAATATTAAAAAAAAATAAATCTTGATAAATTTTAATAAATTCATCCGACGGTTTTAAATAAATTCATCTAACGACTACTAACATCATTTTCAAAATCATTCATATTGAACCGTATCTTCAAAAACTGGTTAAAAAAAACAATAGTCACTACACGGTGCGATGGACGAAAATTGATCATTGGTTCTATTTTACTGTCTTCTCCAATTTTGTTATTTTTTGGACTTTAGAAAAGTAAAAAAAGAATAGAAAATAATATATAAAGTTGGATGAAAAAAGAGATGATAAATAGGGTGAGAAGATAAATGACGTGTATAAATTCTGGATATTTTGACAATATTCTTTTTAACCCTTTAAAAAAAACAATTGACTCTAATTTCAAAGGCAACAAAAATTAAAAATTGAGCTATAAAAAAAAAACTTGTAAAAAGACAAAGCCGAGCTGAGAGAAGCCGCCGAGCCGTATGACAGGTGACATTATCGCGCGGAAAAGTTGGACTAAACTGTTGACAGAGGACAAAGCCGAGCCGCCATAGACTTCTCTAAAATACACGCAAATCCCTTCAACGTTTCGTTTTCTCTGGCTGTAGAAAACTAATCATTAGAGCAACCTCCGCGTATCAAAGAAAAAGCACAAAACCCCCAATCCAATCAATCCCGCTATCTATTTGGTTACCGTACTTAAAAATAATTTTTTAATATTATATTTTTAATAAAATTGTAATATGTATAAAAGTTTTTATTTTTGGAATTAATAACTATAAATTAATCAAACAAAATTTTATTACTCTAAATCAAATTTTAGAATTAATAATTTGGATATGATTTTTATTATAAACAATATATAAATTTACATACACCTGTACATATAGAGAGAGAAAATTTATTAAGCTATTCTCGTGATAGCGGAAAACTAGGCCGGTCACAGGGGAACGTGAAACCTACTGTAATCGCCAGCTATTTCCGTTCTGTCAGTTTCCCTCCAATTTCTCTCCGTCAAGACGCACACAGGACGACGCCTGCAATTCACGGACACTTTATCCTCTCGCCACTTGTACTATCTTAACTCCCACTGTTCACGTTTCGCCTCGGCAAATGAATATGTTACATGAAAAGTCATGTTTACCCCTGAACCAACAATGAAAAAGGCAACTAACCGGAGAGAGGAACGTCTTTTAAAAATGAACATAACTGACAGAAAGTCAGGTCAAAGTGAGACGGTGCGTGTCAACTTTGTGAACATTAATGCGCATGCGGCTAAAATTGTCAGATCTAAGGCAGTTAATCCTATTCTGACCGTCCACTTGAAAATAACAAAACCGATCAACGGGTCGATTGATCATATATGTTCAAATGTCCAGTGCACATCAATACTCGGGATCAAACCCTTCGCGCCTTCCTTTCAGCTTTCATAACTCTGACCAGAACAGGAACCAGAATTCTTCGGTAACACCGTCCACCCAATTTACCAAAACACCCTCACAGGACTAGTCAATCCTAGGGGCATTATGGAATCAAGGTGCGTATTTGTCGACGAAACAAAACGACGCGCTTTGTGCCCGGCAGGCGTTTGGTTGAACCAACCCAACAACCACCACTTTCCTTCACGCTTTTTAGCTTTTACCAGTAAATAATTAAGTAGGAAATTTCCAAACTTAATGGTACTAATTAACAATTATAGAAATAATTAATAATATTATTACGAGGCAGAGGTATATATAAAACTATAAATTATCCTCTCTTTACTCTGTTTTCGGTTTTCTGAATCCATACTTGTGGATTACCTATACTGTTCGCCCCTCTCGCTCTTTACGTTTCTCTCTCTAAATGTCTGTATATCTCTATTTTTCACCGGGAAACCTCTCTCCTCGCCGGTAAAACGCTCTTACGCCGGTGAACAGACTCGCGTAACAATTGGCACGCAGTTTCTCTGTTTCATTGATTTCGTTTTCGTTCTTTTATTCGCGTGGAGTTTGGTGACTCGGTTGGTGGAATCGCTCTGATCTCTGGCTTGGACTCTGTTTGAGAGAATGTGGTGCGTTTGAGGGCGTTTCTGTGGTTGTTCATGTCATAGATCGTGATCTACGGCTTGGTTCGTGTTGTTTCGAGATTTGGTTCGTCGTGCTTTGATTTTTGTCATTGTTGTTTCGGTGAAGGGAGAAAAGACGGAGACTTATAGAGAAGAACTTAGGAATGAGATGGTATGTGATTCGATTTTTTCCGAGTTTTTGCTATTTTTTATATTCCTTTGCTTCCCCTGCCCCTGCCATTTTATTCATCTGATCTCGAGCATTCTCTCAATTTTGCCACCACGAATGATTTTTGTGAAGATGTTCAATTTTTAGTCGTTATATTTATGCGTGTATATGTATAGTTGCATATCTATGGTTCTGTATATCTTATACTCCCATGTCTAAACATATATCTTCTTATTTTCCTTTGGATTAATTTTGTTTGAATTCGTCTTTGAGGAAATTGTAGATGTATTCGAGTGATTTAAGATATTTTCAGGTATAAATAATTAAATATACTCTTTTGAATGTCAAAGCAGTCACTTTTTCCCTCTACTTTCTAATTTTATGATTTCTAATTTTAATTCACCTTTTTTTCTTCCTGTTGTTTCTAATTTTAGAATTTTTGGCTCATGCAATTTATTTATTTATGGGCTGCCTTCCTTCGGATGGGTCATGTATTTGACTTTTTTATTTAGTTTTTTTTCATTTACTCGTATTTGAATGTTATGGACTATTGTGGCGATCATACTGTTCACTCTTTCTATTGAAAGTGGAGACAGTTTAATTTTAAGTGCAGTCCTGGTGTAGTATCTGCTAGATTAGTGTTATTTGACTTTATTCTGATCAGAGTAAGAGTTTTGGTCGCGGAAAATTATGGTAGTTGTTGATTTTTCAGACTTGTAAGAACACCCATTATTACCGTCCGAGTTTTCCAATTCAGACGTGAATTGCTTGCGTTTCAGAAATTATTGAGCGGGTTCTGGTGTACGACAGATATTTCAGAAGAGTTGATTGATTTTTGTGGTTAGAGATTAATGTCTCTGTCTTAGTTGACTCCTTAATGATATAAGCTTTAGATGGACATAATTGTTGTAGATTGAACTTTGCAGTTAAAGCATATCAAATACGTGGTCAAAATCTTATGACTTCTGGAATTGCAGTCATTTACCAAAAGTTAAAAGTTTTCGTTTACAAAGGTTCTTAAAAAGAAACAGTTCTAGAAGGTGCAATTGTACGAAATGAATTTCTAGATTTGTGGATTTATCAACATCAAACTTGTAACTATGGCCCCGTTTGGTAACGTTTTCGTTTTTCGTTTTTCGTTTTTCAAAAACAAAAAACGAAAACCAAAAACGTCTTTTTTTAGTTTTTGAAAATCGGCCATCGTTTACAAAACGGTGACAGAAACGAAAAACAAAATCGGTTACCGAACGAGTTTTTTTTTCTTGTTTTCTTTAAATATCAAAATAAAAATGAAAAACAAAAAACGAAAATGTTACCAAACGGGGCCTATGTTATCAGATCTTGTTGAGTGATTCTATTCATTGTCAGCAAAAACTAGAAAATGGTTTTGTTGCTCCATATGTTGCATTCAACGAGGCCTATTCATTTGTTTGGTGTAGTTTATGTTCTCCTAAAACTGTCCATTCATTCGTGGACACAAAGATACAACAGCCACATCATGGAATTGGAACTTTGCCACCAATTGATCAATTATCCATGCACTACAGTCCAGTCTTTTGTATTTTATGAGAGTCAAGAGGTAAGATCTGAGTTGCATGTGGTGATCAAAGTACTGCTTAAGTGGAGGGAGAGGGCAATACAAACATTTGGTTCTGCTTGGAGCTGTTTCCATTGACTTTTTGTCTCTCAATCTGCATTTAATGCTTGGAAATCTGGGTGCATTTGTGTGGCAATTATTTGATTTTGCTGGACATTTGAGTCTGTCAAAAAGCTTGGCGTTACTGGACCAATCGGTCTTAAAGTTGTGCACAATACGGGTTGTTCTCTTTTGATTTTGGTGAGGATGTGCTACACCATGTGGGGTGGCCATCCGCACATTGTATGACCTTGATGTGGGCAGGTACTCTTTCTTTTCATGATGGCTAAATCAAGCTGTCTGAAAAGGCTCATATCTTTGAAACGAGTGTCAATCCTCAAACATATCCTCTGATATTTTGTTGGTTACTCTCCAAAATTTTTCTGTTTATTTTGTTCCGCCCTCCTATTCATGTTAGGCTAAGTTGTGTAGTGTTTCTATGGGCTTTATTTGAGCTTGCTAATTATGTGGGTGACTTCATGTTAGATTTGTTGGCCCTGATACTGAATTGGTGTAGTTACACATACCTAATTGAGTCGATAACCCTTTCTTTAGGTCATCACAGGGTCGAGTTATTAATGATTTTCATTTCTAGTGTACTAAGCAGAATATCAGAATTTTAGAATCCAATCCTTTAATGTGAGTTTTGTATTTTTTATTACTTTTGCAGGTGGAAGGAAAGGTTTCCATGTCCAGGGAGGCTAAATTAGAATTTCTGAAGCGTAAAAGGCTTCAGCGGATGAAATCAGAAACTTCAGGTGATGCTGCATGTGTCGCCAACATGATGAGTAGAAGTGGAGGAGATTCTTTAAGAGGTTCTGCATCATGTGGCACGAGATTGCATAGTAATGTAAATATGCTTTCTCGATCTGGTAGTGCTTCAAATGATAAGGATGTTTTCTCAAAGCGCAAGGTTGCAAAGTTTGACACAACCAATCTCGAGTGGACCGATAAAATTCCAGAATGTCCTGTATACTATCCGAGTAAGGAGGAATTTGAGGATCCTTTGGTGTATCTCCAAAAGATAGCTCCAGAAGCTTCAAGATATGGTAAGGTCCCTTCTTGTGTTTTGAGTCTTTTGACATATTGGATGTGTATAACACTTTTAGTAATTTATCTTGTTTGCTCTAGCCAAGCGCTCTCTGGCTCTCTGCCCACTGCCCAGTTGTATTTCTGGACAGTTTGGCTTTGGGGTCCAGCATTTGAGACCCACTTTCCCTTTTCTCACCAATGTCTGATTTCGCATTATGGACTTCGTTCATTGAGCAAAGAAAGAACAGCTGTTTAGCACGTATTGGTATTGGGGAAAGTGTTGGATCATTTGTGGCCTGAAGATATGCCAAGATATCTTGTAGAGCCATCTTGGTCCTGTGCTGTAGAACATGGAATACATGCACGTGGTTTTAAAATATCATGCCAAACCTAATACTAAAGATAGATATTTAATTTATATTTTTGATGTTTCATTTGTTGAATTTAACTGTATATTGAGCACATTATGAGCAGTGGTCTATTTTTGTGCTCTTCAAGTCAGGAAGTCTTTCATTCACTAGCTTTTTAAAATGTTGATCCCTATCAAATTCCTTAAGCCAGCAATTTCAAAATACTATGTTGGTGAAAATTGGTTCTAACTTGGGAGTTGTGGTTTTGGTATAAGGTCAGTATTTGGAAGTTTGACAGGAATCTGATTGGCCTTTGTTCATATTCATGATTTGGTGATGGTGTTGTATGTTGGGCATGTTAAGATTCGGGGGTCCTTGTTCTTCTGTTTTTACGTACTTTACAGGTGTCCTTGTCCACTATGTCTAAAAAAATTCTACAATTTCTGTTTCCTGCCGGTGTTGAGATTTTTTGATTGTCGTTTTTTGGTTATGTTGCATGAATAATATTGCAGGTATATGCAAGATTGTTTCTCCATTGTATGCTTCTGTTCCTGCTGGTGTAGTATTGACGAAGGAAAATGCTGGTTTTAAGTTTACAACTAGAGTTCAACCCCTTCGTCTTGCTGAGTGGGATACTGATGACAAGGTCACTTTCTTCATGAGTGGAATGTGAGTTTTTGTACAAAATAAATATATTGTTTTTCGATGGATATTTGGTCAGGCTTTGATTGTGAATGGTTTTTCTAGCAATTATTCATTTCGGGGCTTCGAGAAAATGGCGAACAAGGTTTTTGCTCGTAGATATTATAGTGCTGGATGTCTTCCTGCTACGTACATGGAAAAAGAATTTTGGCATGAAATAGCATTTGGAAAGACTGAAAGCGTTGAATATGCATGTGATGTTGATGGTAGTGCATTTTCATCTTCTCCCAGTGATCAGCTTGGAAAAAGCAAATGGAATCTTAAGGTGTTGATCTCGTTACTATTTCTCACTCTCTTTTGTATTGCTTCCAGTGGACATTTTCTTAATTGCAACAGATGCTTCCATTTATGTAGGTTTTCTCGACTTGTTAATAAGAATCCCACATTGCTATCCTGGGTATCTTTTTCTATGTTTCTTAGTTGAGTTCTCTCTTTTCTACCTTTTCTTTTGAATTTGTTCATCTGGGTACTTATAAAAAAATGTTAATCTTTTTATTTTTAAACTGTGAAAATGTTCATCTTGGTGCATAAACTGTCTGCACTGCTTTCACAGCATTTATTCTTGATGTTTTTCATTGGCTTATGGTTTTAGAAACTTCTCATACTTTGGTGTGTTCTGCAGCATCAATTTTCTCTTCCTTTTCCCAGCTCATCATAACGACTTAGTTTAGTTTTTAGAAATGGCGACCTTGCATGTGTATTGTATTCTATTTCTAGAATGTCTATTCAACTTGTAATTTTAGCTTATTTTTGTTGTTTCAGAAACTTTCTTGGCTGCCTAAATCTATCTTGCGTCTTCTAGAAACAGCAATTCCGGTATCAAGACATAAATTTTCTTTGTTGTTTTGGTTTGTTTTATTTATGTGCTTATTGAGTTGTTTTTTTTACCTTTTGTGTTTATTTCAGGGAGTTACTGAACCCATGCTTTACATTGGAATGCTTTTTAGTATGTTTGCTTGGCACGTGGAAGATCATTACTTGTATAGGTACATGTTAGTTCTATTTAAAGTCCACTGGCACTGGTCATATTTGTGTCCTAAATCATTCATATATTATGGTACCTTATTTGCATGCAGTATTAATTATCATCATTGCGGAGCTGCAAAAACATGGTATGGTGTTCCTGGTCATGCTGCCCTTGATTTTGAAAAGGTTGTCCGGGAGCATGTTTATACCCATGATATTCTATCAACTGATGGGGAGGATGGAGCTTTTGATGTGTTGCTGGGGAAAACAACATTGTTTCCTCCAAACATTTTGTTAGAACATGGTGTTTCAGTCTACAAGGCTGTGCAAAATCCCGGGGAATTTGTAATAACTTTCCCTAGAGCATATCATGCTGGTTTTAGTCATGGTATGATAATTTCTTTGTACTAACTGATTTGAGCTAAAGACCGAAAACATGCCAAATTTTGATCTCCATGGAATCTTTACTTCTTTTGTATTGATTTTATCATCTCCATGACTACTAACCAAACATTACTGAGCTTTTTCACCTTCTGTTTTGTTAAATTCCAGGTTTTAATTGTGGTGAAGCTGTGAACTTTGCAGTTGGTGATTGGTTTCCTATGGGTTCAGTGGCTAGCCGTCGTTACGCACTTCTTAATAGGATTCCTCTCCTTCCTCATGAGGAACTTCTCTGCAAGGAAGCAATGCTTCTTCATAGGAATTTGGCACTTGAAGATCCTGATTCTTCATCTGCAAACTTAATTTGTAACCGTAGCATTAAAGTTTCTTTTGTAAATTTGATGCGATTCCAGCATCTGGCTCGGTGGTGTCTAATGAAATCAAGAGCATGCTTGGGTGTTTCTCAAAATGCCAAGGGGACAGTTCTATGCAGCCTATGCAAGCGTGACTGTTATGCAGCATACCTAAACTGCCATTGCTGCTTGCATCCTGTATGCTTTCGCCATGGTATGTTAGATGTCAATGTTCACTTATTTTCTTTTTGTAGCATTATATTATATATCATTCTTGAATCTTGCTGATTGGTTCTGGTCATCCTGGTTTTCCAATTTAGAGATTAAGTCACTTGATTTGCCTTGTGGAGGCAAATGTACTCTCTTCGTAACGGAAGATATATCTGATATGGAAGCTGCAGCCAAGAAGTTTGAGCAGAATGAGGATGTATTACATGAGGTTCAACAGCATTGCAGAAGTGGTGCTGACATGTTTCTGCTGTTAAATATGTTCCCAAGAGCTGCAGAGGATGGATACACTCCTTATTGCAAGATAAATTCTGTTCTGAACCAGGAACTTGCCAATAATAAGGATACGTTACAACAAACTCAGTGTACTTCTCTCAACCAGTCTCCTTTGAGCAATGATACACAGAATTTTGGGACTGAAGTTTCAGATGCTTCCCTTTCCTGCACTTCTTCATCAATTCTTTCTTCTATTGAGCCAGCTCAAAGCTCTTCCATGGCCAATAATGTAAGATTTAGCTATGTTACCCATATTTGGGTTTCTCTTTTGCCTGTTCGTTTTATAACACAGCACTATTCCTGCTTTGTTTCTAGGAAACTAATCACTACCTAGCAGGGATGGATTCTTTAACAGGAAAAATTACCAAAAAGTCCTATTTTTCCACACAAAGAACCATCAAGTCCTACCATGAACAATTAAGTCCTACTTTTGATAATTAATACCCATAAAGTCCTAAACTCCATCAATGCTATTTTTTCTTCCCATTTTACCCTGATCATTATAACACCAATTTTTATTTTTTCTATTAATTATTTAACCAATCTTGATCCAAAATTTTTGGGAAGTTGCAGTCACTCGTCCCCCCCACCCCCCCTCTCTTTTGGATCTGTCATTTCTGCTAAAAGAAATTAGGTCCATCTCATGTATAACTTTTGATTTCTATATGCTCTTAGCAGATACAGGAGCATATTAGCTATACTTCAGGGGATTTTGTAGCTCCTAACTCTACTAAAGAAGCACCTTTCCGCATTAATGACCCTTCACTATTCTCCCAGAGGGATGATTGTTTGGGTGCCCGCAAAGCTAATATTCATGAAGCAGAGGTTAGGCCTTTTGTGGATCAAGATAGTGATGAATCTGATTCAGAGATCTTCAGGGTTAAACGTCGTTCTTCTGCAAAAATCGAACAGAGAAATGCAAATAATGCAATGACTTCAAGTTATGCACATCAGGTACAGCAGAAAAGTGTTCTTTGCTTTACTTTGCTGCACAATACTAGGTTCTTGCATTTTTGCTTCTCATTAATAATGGTCTCTTAGTATTTTGACAATGTCTAAGTGCATGCCATTCATGTACTGTGGATTTTATAAAATACTTTAGTTTGCTTTGTTCTCTAGTATTGTTTTATGTGTCAATTAGATACCCAATTGAATCCAGATGTAAGGAATGTTATCATTCTTTTTTTATTAAACCATATAAATAACCCTATAATTTTACTGTGAGCCTTTGACTGCACAATTAAAAGAGACTAATAGTGGATTGGGCAGCGGGGGTCGGGGGAATCGGATTGGCAGAGTAATTCCCTTTTTTAAGAGGCACTACTCGTGCACAAGTCTTTTTGAAACAAGCATTACCAAAGATAAAAATGCATTAGAACCTTTGTTTTTTTTGATTGCATCTAGCTTGTTACATAAATTCACCATTCTATCAGTTATCTCCAATTCTCCGTACCCCAGTTTCTTTTTGTTCTCAACGAGTCCATAGCATCAATTATCTCATCAGTTTAATGATCACTTTCTCATCTCCATGTGGTATTATTGTCAAATTCCTGATCTCGTATTGCATTCTTCTGTGGTACTAATATGGGTTTCATTATTTTTGCAGGGGCTTAAGCGACTAAAGAAACTACAACCTGAAGGAAGGTGTGGCCAACTATCGCCATCAGAGTGTTCTGCAGCTGGCAATCATAGTGGTAATTACAGTTCAACTCATTCTAAAGAAGCTACATACAGTGCTTTAAAGGACAAGTTTGCTAGAGGAACCACCATTCCCATCTCTGCTAAGTTTAAGAAACTTCCCAATGTGGAAACAGTGAACAAGTATAGAGAACGGCATAGAGATGATAGATTTCAGCATGAGTTGGGAAAAACAATGCGGAAACCACCCCCCTGTAGAGATTGGACCAAAGCGCCTTAAAGTTAGAGGCCATTCAATTCTGGGGTTGGAGAGCAGATTGGATTGAATTGATCACCAGAAGCTGATTAGAATTCTGGTTGGCCTGCCTCATGAACATGTCCTCGTTCGCTAACTTCATTTTACTTTATAGGGGTTCTAACAACACGAAAGCTAATACATTCAATTCTGGGAGCAGCGGGCAAGATTAACCAAGTTTAGATGAAAGAAAATTCATATTCTTTGTGCGTGCCACAAAATTGGGGCAATTTGCACGGTGCTGATTCTTATGGTTCTCTCAGGCCTGAGGTATTTTTCCCTCTCTGGCGGGAGAATCTCTCTTTCCTTCCCACTAGCAGAAAGTAGATTTTGGATTAGTGTACATTTGTTCTTTAACTGTTGATCAATTTTTGTGGGCAAGTGGGTATTTCCACTGAGCCTCATTTAATGTCAAGTCTCCGCTGCTTCCTCTCCATGGTTCATTATTCTTTTTGTGGCACTGGGCCATTGTAACTTTTACTACTTGAATAAAATGCAATTACTAGTTTCAGGCAATTCATTGAATTGTTAGTACAAGGCTGTCATGCATTGAAATTTGCTTTATTTAACTGTGCATTGTTTGATGGGAAATGTTGCAAGAGCAGCCTCAGTTGACTTGGCCTTTCTATATGGTTGGGCTTTCAGAAATAGATGAAGGCTTGCTAGACTGCTAGGTCCTTTGTGGTGGCTAACCTTAGCGATATGACTAAGCTGAGCCAAGTACTTTTTCTTTGGATTTGGTTCGTTGGTTCGTTTGGGATTGGATTGTTCAATCAAAATCGTGCTCATCTCATATTGGTTTGACTTGGCTTGGTTAGGTTGATCAAACAGACAGTTCAAATATGTGTTTGTTATTCTAATAAGAAAGCGCTCTTAGATTAGTACGGTAGAATGTGGGTCTCCAAAGTGTGCTTCAAATCCTACATATTGTGCTTCTGTTTTTCTTAGATCAAATTAGACTAAAATAGTTTCATTGATTTGAATAGTAATCTGAATTTGACCTTTTGTCGATTAAAGAAAGGAGGAGGTCAAGAGGTAATTACGAAGCTACACATGGAACAAAGCCCATGTTTGATTTGGTCTAACAAAATCGATTCTCTTAACTGGAAGCCCAAAGGTGAGATGTGAAAGTAGGTTATTCTACTTGATCTTATTGATTGGTTACTCAAAAGAATTGACTAAGTCAACAGAAATTTTTTTGATATTCTGTAAAAAGTCGGGTAGACATGCGGAATACTTACAAAATTTCTTTATTAAAATCTAAATTTCTAGAAACCTTAATATTTTATTGATGGTTATGACTTTCTTATATATGATATATTGATGTTTATGGCTTTTTTATTGTGTTTTATTATAATTGTTTAGGTATTATTGAATTTATTGTGTTTTGTTAAGTGTTATTCGTTTATTGTCTTAGTTAATTAGTACAGGTTACTTAATTAAATTATTAAAATGATCCAAAAATTAATAACTAAAAAATATATGTTCACCTAATTTCCTACCCGACTTTCTATCCGATTATTTTGGACAAAATTCGGGTCGAAATAGTACACTTGATCGGGTAGGGTAGACCAACAAAAAAATTATTCCACAAAAAGTTAGGTAGAAAGATGGAATACCATTATTTTTACCCGAATGATAAGGTGAACACTCCTAATTACACAGTTATCCGTGAAACAACTAAGTGGGCCGCTAATTCTGAATGAAGCCCAATATTATTTTGAGGAGCTACAGGAGAGCCCAACAAACAGCAAAATATAGCCCCTCGAAAAGGGCCACCGAAGTGAATCGAATCATCAACTTATTCAAAAGCCATGGCAGATCAAGCCCAATAACTCTGGTTCAGGTTACCGTTATTAACTAGCCCACAGGCCAGTTCGTGTGTAGATAGTAGCCAATGGTTTTTAATCGCATTTACTAATCTTAAATCACCACCTGAAGAGTTGGAAGAAAAAAAAAAAGAGAGGCTAAAATGCAAAACATTCAAATTATGTATATCTCTAAACTAGGGTTTTCTCGGGAGTTGAACTTGGGGCCTCGAAGTAGTAACACAATTTGTAAATCCAAACTACTCTTAACAAGTTCGGATAACCATATCTCGAGGTGATTTGATTACATGAATTGCAGGATTTGAGTGACCTTCTCTGTACTCATGTCAATTCTAACCTTTTTATTGACGAGAATGGAACAGTGAGAATAGAGTAAAGAAAAACAATATACTGAGAATAAAACAAAGTATGAAAAGGATTAAACAAAAGAAAGAGATTGTTAATGGGTTCTTGTCAATATCTGCATATTTCTTTCCACCACTTGTTAACAAAGATTTGTAGGGTACTTAGATATAAACTTCCTTGCTCAAAGTCATTGAAAAGATTCAATATGTTTCAACCTTTTGTTTCACCTATTAGCTAGCTAGGCTTGTGAGAGGATCCTATACCTATAGCAACAACTCATAAGGAAAAAGAGACAATTACTACTTTAAGTCATGTTATGTGGGTTTGATTGGGAAAATCCACCTTTTTTTTTTTTAAGTGTGGTCAAGTTTCTTGAGCATATTTGTGGGAAAGAGCCACTTTGCATCATTCCTCTTTTCTAGTGTTAATGGTCATATATATTGGAGAATATGTTAAACCTTTCTCCTATTCATATTTCATATTTTTCTTTGTTAGGTAAAATTAATTTTAGTGATTAAAAAATAATATATACAAAACATAGTTCAAGACATACCCAAGGGATTTTCCTGAGTTATAATCATAAAAGAGTTATTTAGGATTCAAATAACTAGCTTAGAAGAATATATTGTCATAATCTAGAAAGCTTGAGTCCGTGTTAGGAAGATGTTCCGGGGACGGAGGAGGCTCTCTATTACCATCCAAGTCCATTTCTCTCTTATAGCTCGTGCATATTAGACCTTCAAAATTTAATGATACGATGCAAAAAAAATTAGCTTTCTTTCCTATAACTTTGCCTACTCTGAGCTCTTTAGCTCATTAATTGAAGCTACTTTAGATTGTTTTATTTGAATTTTGTTATTTCTTACTTGCGTATTGCGTGTTTGTATATTACGTATGTGATGTTCAAAAGCACTGTCCTATATTTCAGAATTTATCCTAAACTATGATTTTAAAATATGCTAAGGAGTTACAAAGCAGCTGGACCAATTCATCATCTATATTTTTTATTTATTGGGATCACATCGAGCAAAATCACAACTAACATTTTGTACAAGTTCAAGGGAAGAAAGAAAAATCACTGCAAAATAAGTTTCAACCTTTCTTTATTTCACTTTGTCGACATTCGTAGAACGGAACTAAGATATTATTTGTTGTAGTGTTCTCAAGTTATCGGAAAAACAAGACAAGTAAGCAGCCGATGTGAGTCTCTTATAAATTGGTGAAAAAATGAATAATTCCATGAATAAATTTACCAACAAGTTGGTTATGTAAAACTAGGAGGTACAAGTTCTGGTCAAGATTGAGTCAAATATGCACAACATTTGAAAAACATTTTCCTCACTAGATTCCTTTCTCACCTAGTCACTATGGCTCCATCATGTTGGCTAAAGTTTGCCATTAAAATGAATAGCATCTTGTCAAGATGTCCATTCTTAGTATTTCTTTTTCAATATAAGGTTGTATAGGTTTGTGGATTCTTTTTTTTTTTTTTGTGGATTGTTAAATCTGAAATATTTAGTGAAATGTCTTTTACCTTCATTTTCCCATATTTCATGGGTTTTTAGCATTGGCATCCACCCTACAATGGTTGTAAGCTGCAATAGGGGTGGTAATCAAGTCTGTTGTGTCATGATCTAATTCGTGCTGAGCATACTAATTAACCATAACTTGACTTGTTTAGTTAAATGTGTTAGAATATCTAACGCTAATCCAATCTGTTCAATAATCATATCATATTTTGGTCAATAGGTATAACATATGAAACAAAATTCACATTTTATTCGCCTTTAACGAAACCAACTACTCATTGATTTTCTTTTTTTCAAAAAGTAAATGAATATCGTTAACAGAAATGAGCCTACAAGGTGAAAACCTTTGACAAAAGGCAAGGGAAACCAGTAAAAAAATGGAATTTTGGTGGAAGTAACTTCATGTATAGAAGAACTTCCACCAAAATACCAAACAACAATCATCACAACACAAGGAAAAATAACCCCAAACAGCCAGCTACTCATTGATTTTCAATAAACTAGAATTCCATGGAGTCCAAATGTTTGCAAAACCAAGCAAAAATGTCTCTAAATCTATGAAGATTCATGCAATTTTAGATGAAGTGATGAAAAACACCATAAAACTTCTTATTATACTAGCTGAACATGTTTGTTGAATTGTTGTGTTGAAATATGATGATTTGTTTATACCAATAAAGATGATCCGTTTATTACTCGTATTAGTGAATCGTGTTATTTTTGGATTCATTTCAAGAATTAACTCACCCTAACCAGTAATTTTATATCCGAATTCATGTCGTGTCTGAAATTGTCACTCAACACCACGCTGTTGCCTCAATTTCCGAGAAATCATGCATCTGTAGAACATTTAATTTCTTTCGTGTATGGAAAGGTGAATCCCAGAAATGGTTGCAGAAATTACGACAAGTTAAAGTTACTTGGTTATCATACTGTGCGGCTCTTCAAAATGCTTGAAGGTTGCTTCTACTATTGCACTGTGTCTCTCACTATTCAAGAAATAGCCTAACTAAACATCGCTTGCTTGTAAGTTATTCATACTCTTCAGTATCATAGGCTTACCAAGAAAAAGAATCGCGATCATAATGTAATGTACCGACTAATCCCGCCTTTATTATGAAAGATATATAATTAAATACATATTACTTTAATCACAATATATGCAACATAGCTGCACAATTCAGTTGATCGACGCATTTCCTTTCCTGGTGGTTATTCCCATGGAGTAAATATAGTTTAACCAACTTTGGTAGCTACTCGGATTCCGTTTGATACGGTTCCTTTCTATATTTTCCTCTGATACAGTACTTCGTA